GACCCGACCCGAACCCCCCCAAAACAGCCCCTTACCCGACCCTAAAATAGCCCCTGACCCCTTCCAGCCGCTGCCACCTCGAACCCCCTCTGTTGCATCCTGTCGAACCTCGAGTTTGGCATGGATTCCCTCAACTCCGTCCTCGAACTGATGACAGGAAGAGTATATATCTCACAGCGATGAGATATATAACTTTTTTTGGTTCTTATTTCCTCTGAGAAACAAGAATTTGTTTGAGATCCTACTCTTGTTGTGCAGCAGAGGTGCTGCCGAAATTTTTACTGCACACAACAAAGGTCGGAAGAGAAGGTGAACAGGTGGTGGGTCTGAAGCCTATTCGATGGAGGAGATCATCAAGAAGTTGAACCCTACGGAGGTGTCAACTTTGATGAAGCTAATGAAGTTGTCGGCTGGTGAGAGCGCGACAAAACCATCGAAGAAGTTGGAGCTTCCGACCATCGATCTGAAGCTAGATGGACCTAGTACGTACCTGAGCTGGTCACGGCATGTGAGATATACCCTTGTAGGGAGGAATCTGGAGGGTTATCTGACAGGAGAGGTGACAGAGCCGGAGGAGGACTCAGAGGGAAGAGATGAGTGGAAGTGCACTCATATGTTGGTGTACATCTGGCTTCTCAATTCATTGGTCCCGACGATCGCCGCCACGGTGGATGGCATTGAGAAGGTGAAGGACGTCTGGGAGAAGTTGAGGAGGACATATGATGGAGTGGGGAATAACCTGAGGGTATTCTAGATTAAAGGAGAGATCGACGCCACAGTCCGGGGAGAGAGGACTGTACAGGAATATGCTACAGAATTGGAGCGTCTGTGGCTGGATTATGATCATTTTTCCCCTCGGGCTAGCTGCAAGGACCCAGGGTGTAAAGAGTGGGAGGTCTTTCTACAGGAGAGGACTATGGTGTTTCTCAAGGGATTGACATCAGAGTTCGCTCAGCGAATCGCATTGCTACTAGCTCAGTCGAAGATTCCCATGCTTGAGGAGGCTATCTCTGCTATGATCCAGGAGGAGACTCACATTCGGCTGCAGGCGGGGACAGGTGGACTTCCTGTGGTGAAGTCAGCACTGGCAGCCTCTAGTAGTACTGGAACTAGGGGAGAGACTCGACAGTGCTACAACTGCGGTGCGGTGGGTCATCTAAGGCATGCTTGCACCAAGCCATCCAAAGAAGGAGATTCGGGTGGACGTGGACAGTTCGGAGGTCGTGGTCGTGGCCGTG